CAGCGGAGACGGGAGCGGCGACAAAAGAAACGGGGGCGGCGCCAGCGGAAACGGGGCCGCCCAGGGCGGCGGGGCCGGGGACGTCGGCGGCTTGCCGGAGCTGCACTTTTATGCGCCACACTGCTGTTGCAGATTCACCGGCACCCCCCCCCCCCCTCCTTCACGCGTCAGCGTCCATCATAGGAGCTCAAGTCGTTCCACTTCTGGTTCGCAGTGCAAGGCGGCCACGACAGCTCGCCGCGGCGCACCCTCACGCTAACTGGGGCGCTCACCTGGAGCTCGGTGCCCCAGTTCCGCCTCGTGAAGGAGGTCGTCGGCGCCGACGGCCAACCTCTCTACGACCCGGCCGTTCGTGCCCGAACCGAAATTGTCGGAACATGTTGGAACCTCAGAGACAACTTCACTGCCGTCGACTTCCTGATCACTGACATCGACACCGCGAAGAAGTGGGGAGGACGCAAGACGTCTCGGTCGCGAGAAATGGTGTTTGCCTCCGGGGTGCTTGCGTCCGATGGACGGATCAAAGACCACCCTCCCCGGGCGGGTCTCGGCGAGCCTCTTCGTGCACTAGTTGCGGTGGCCTCGGCTTATTTCTCCGACGTTTCACCCTTCCTACCTGTAGGCCCGGCCGACACCTTGGCCACGACTTCGACGGATGCCCGCTCCTCGCACGGGTGGGAGGGGCTCTGCACCCGCGTGAACAGGGGCGAGGTTGGGACGCCGCCAGACAGCGAGCTCATTGATGCGTCGCACTGGCACCGGATGCTGGCGGTTTTGTGCGCAGACGCGGAGTATGGCAGCTCTGCAGAGTGGCGGCCCGACCTCGCCCCTTCTTCACCGTCAGGCTGCCCAATAGGACGCTCCGAGGCCAGGGCTTTGGCCCGCAGGGCCAGCCGTGCCAGGGAGGGTTGGAGGGGTACGGCTGGCGCCATGTGCTGCAGCTGGTCGGCCCAACCCCTTTGGAGCTGGACGCCCTAGTTGAGGCGGAGCGTGCTGCGGTGGCCGCTTCCGAGGCCTCCCTCCCCCCCCCCCTCCCCCCCCCCCCACCCCACCCCACCCACCCACCTTTCTCACCCCCGATTCACAGCCGTCGCGTGCCGCCACTCCCGCCCTCTCCCCACCCGCAGGCGGAGTCGATGGAGGCGGCGCCTGAGGAGGAGGAGCTGGGTACGAGCGCGATGGAGGAGACCGAGCCGCCGGAGCAGCAGCAGGAGCAGCGGCGGCGGCGGCAGCAGCAGCAACAGCAGCAGCAGTGGAGGGCGGGTGGGGAGCAGCAGCAGCAGCAGCAGCAGCAGCAGCTGAGGGCGGGTGCGGAGGCGGCGCCGGCAGCAGCAGTCGGCACGGGCAGCGCGCGCGGCGGAGGAGGAGGCTCGAGCAAGCCCCCCGTCGTGCTGACTGGCTGGTACCTGAAGCGGCTGGGCGTCTCCACCGACGGCGCCGTCTTGCTCGCCGTCGAGGGGTGGCGGAAGGGGCAGCCGCTGCGCCGCAAGCCGTGGCACTCCACGGCCATCGCCACGCGCGTCGACGGCCGCACGCTGCGCACCGCGTCAGGCTCCGTCTGCCAGCCCGGACGCTCTGGCCATTCAGAGTTCGCTCATGGCTGGCTGATGAGTGAACAGGCTCTCCGTCTCTGCCAGCCTGACGGCTCCGCTAATGTTCATTCACGCACGGGCAAGTGGTGAATGAACAGGCTCCGTCTACCAGCTCGACGGGCCGATGGACCAGCACGGAGCCGCCCTCCAACGCGGCGGCGCCGGCTTCTCGCCCGCGACCGCGCAGGCTCCACGCCCCCACCCCACCACTCCTCCACGCCCCCCTCCCTCCCTCCCACGCCCCTTTCGCCCGCGACAGCGCAGGCGTTTGCCGACGGCTTCCCCGCCGACTGGCGCTCGCTGCTGGAGCTTGACGAGTTTGCGGATGAAGAGGTGCGGGGGAGAGGGGGGGGGGGGGGCAAAAGGGGGGGGGGGGTGCGGGCCAAAGGGGAAAGGGGAGGGGGGCTACGGGCCCGGGGAGTCGGGGCAAGGGTAAGGGGAGCTGCGGTCAAAGGGGGAAGGGGACGGTGGCGGGGGGAACTCCGGGGGCACCCG